TATCAAATCCTTACAGCGGTGTTTTTAAGGTAGTTGATTATTCTTAGGAAAAACAAACAGCTGTTCACAAGTAGTGTATGTCACTATAGAATAGAAATCAATCTAATTAACTTTATTGTTCATTGTCTTTGCCTGCATACAATAGTACTGATTCTATCAGTTTCCTATTAATGTGAAATCTGAAGGGATTTCTTCCTGGTGAACTTTCCGGATGTGACAAAAAATATTCTAACAATGAGAATTTGTTGTTCTAATGGCACACACTTAGTAACAAAGCTTATTTACTAAGGAACAGAAAAGGTAGATGTTAGAATATCAACCTGTTTTACTTTATAAAAGCAACCATACTGTCACTATTTACAACAGAGATCGGACAAAAGACTGACGGAACTTAAATGCAAACAGACGACAATGATTAACGAATCACTACAGATAACGATGATTGACTGCAAACTTTTATTGTATCTGCTAAAACTTTTATGGTATCTGCTAAAAATGTCTGATTTTTTTATTGTTTTCTTTTCTTGTTTAATATTGAAAACATCAGTTGACAAATCAATCAATCAAGGGACAAGCATTCTTTTCAAATTACACTGAACAAATTTATAAACGCAACACTTTTGTTTTTGCCCCCATTTTTGATGAGCTGAACTCAAAGATCTGAGACTTTTCTATGTACACAAAAGTACTTTTTCTCTCAAATATTGTTAGAAAATCTGTGTTAGTGAGCATATATATATATATATATATATATATATATATATATATATATATATATATAATTATTTGTTACATAACTATATATTGATTAGTTATATAATATATTTACAGTTGCACAAAACAAGAGGCTATGAATGATCCTTTTCGAAATAATTCCCATCATATTTCAAGCAATTCAAAGCACAATCGCAAATAGCGCCCATCTGACGTGTCTCAGCTAAAGGAAATTATTTATTGGCTTTAATATAGTGGCCTAATTTTTTTATTGGGTCGATAACGCTAACATTAGAAATGATCATAAACCGGCAGATATACTGATGTATTTTTTTTTAAAAAAGGTAATAAAAATACACAAATAAATTGTGTTCATATCATAAATGGTGTACCTGAACGAAGGGGACAAGGGGCTTTTCAGGGACTAATAATTAAAACACAATTTACATTATGCCTTTACATGGTGTTTCTAGGCTAATTAAAATATTTTTCATGACTGAGAAGTCAAGGAACAGGTTTTTCACCATATTTTGAAAACTCCCACCTGTGTAAGGCCGTTTTCCAGGTCCTTTCTCTTATAAAAGTAGAAAGAGCCATTTTCATAGAGTTCCCCAGGCCAGTCTTGGCGTCGAGGTCTGTGCGCCACATCGATGTTCGGGGAAGTCGGATTCTTACCCACTAATTACAACGAAAGATAGTGAAGAACAGTGAAGGAAGAAGGAGAGTAGTTCCATACCTGTCACTAAACAATTGTTTTTATTTATGGGAGTTTGTGATACTGTACCTTTCTTGTCCACCTCTTCCCACCGAAACTGGTGTCTGCGCACCACTGAAAACACATAGTCATACCCCTGTCCCGTGATCATCTGTAGGGCTTCTCTGATATGATGAGGGTGCAGACATGGAGACGTAGCCTGAATATGACAGACGATGTCCACCTCTAAAACACAGAGACAAAACAAATGACAAGATGGAGGTCTTTCTGGCATGTAAACAGTTTTATAACACTTTACAATAAGGTTTCAATAATTAACATGAACTAAGAATGAACAATACATTTACAGCATTTATTGATATTAGTTAATGCACTGTAAACTAACATTTATTATCTAACATTAACAAAAATTGTTAAAAAATGTAGGTAACACTTTATTTTGCAGTGTCCTTGTTACATGTTAGATGTTCCTATAGTAATAACTAAATTATGCATAATTACATGCAACTAACCCTACAACAAACTTTGCCCAACAAACCCTTTAGTCAGTGCATTTTCAGCTTACTAAAAATATTTACAATGACAAAAAAATATTAAAAGTACATAAGTTCAAATTAATAATGCATGCTTAACAGCAAGGTTTTTTACACACAGCACGCACACACACACACACACACACACACACACACACACACACACACACACACACACACAGACTTTTATCACCTACATTCCTCAGTTCAAAACACATCCAGGAAAATGATAGCATTGGCTAAATGACAAAACATTATTTTAATCTCGCTCTACAAGTCATAGGCTAGGCCTACTTGCAATGCAAAACCTCAAAATATGCAAGTTCTCAATTTTTAGGTATAAAACAAAAGTAAGATGATGATGATGAAGGTGTGTCTCACCGGGTCTCAGTCGGATGAACTCCTGGATAGTCTCCAGAGAGCTGGAATAATCGTTGGAAACTTCAGGACTGCGACGATGAACTTTCGCACCCCAGACTTTTGCGACCCGCTCAATTTCATCATGATCTGTGGAAACCCACACGCTGACACACATAGTGACATCAGTCATTAAAAAAAAAAAAAAAATAACTCAAATTTTACTTACAAAAGACAAATTAATAGAAATAGAAGACGCAAGCTCGCCGCGGAATAGGCCTAAAGAAAAAAAATAGTAGGGCTATTTTTCTCCACTTCTTGTAATAAATAAATAAATAAATAAGTCAGAATTATGATAAATAGGTCTAACTAAATTGCGATAAAAAAAATTAGAATTGCAAAATAATTAATGAGCCGCAATTAATTCAAGCCAACAATTGAATCGTAAATTCGTCGCGGCAATGACTTTTAAAAGCAGCTTAATTGTAAGTTAGATTGTTTAATCTTAAACAACATGACGACAAATCAATAGGCTATATATCCACAACAAACATTTAACTTATCTCCCATTTCATTAACATATTGAAGAAACAAAAACATATTAAAGCGATAGCTAATATTAAAACAGTTAAGAAAGGCTCAAATATAGTTGCCTGTCAACGACTCCTGAGTCCAAGGCGGCTCTCAGAACCCATCCGATGAGAGGAACACCGGCCAGATTCTTGATGTTCTTCAGAGGGATTCCTTTACTGCCACCCCGGGCCAGAATCAGAGCCGCCCGGTGAGGGAGTCCAGAGGACGGGGAAGCGACACCCGAGCTCACCTGAGCCTGTGGCTGAGCCTGAGCGCACCTGTGGCTCTCCATCGCCCTGAGAAGCAGTGTGAGGGACTGAGAAGTGAGATTCACACCAACATGCGGATTGGCCACACTTTTTTGAGAATCATTTTATTTACTCGTTAGATTATTAGGTCGATGATCTATAGATTTAATAGCATATGTTTAACGATCGGAGGCGTTTCCTATATGACAAATAAATAGATTTATCTGTCAGATATTCATCACTCAGCCGACTCGAGCTACGTTGCTACTTTTACATCTCTCGTATCACTCCGCGTGGTTAATATTGGACAGTTCTCTAGAGACGTGTAGTCACAGACAGAACATTAAACCCTCGATAGAAGCTGAAGAGTAGCCTATCCGGATAAAGAGATAAAGCAAAACATCGCTAGGAAGAAAACAAACCTAAGTTAAGTGACACAAGAGCGGATTGCCTGGATTGTTTAATAATATAAGTCGACTATTATTGTTTCTAATAATCGATTCTAAGTGCCTAATTTATATAATAGGCTACTATATATTTTATAGTTTGCCGTGACCAGTTTTGCTACTTAGGTTAAGTATACTCTACTTTCAGCCGGTCTAATTCATTATAGCCTAATTAAAGCGTGTTAATGATAAGTTAACTTTAAGTTTGCTATTTTAACTTCAAGTAGCCTAGTATACTTTAAGTATATAGGACTATATATATATATATATATATAGCCTATACATATAAAGTATATACATATATATACTTTAAGTATATGTATGTATGTATGTATGTATGTATATATATATATATATATATATATATATATATATATATATATATATATAGGCGTAGGCGGCTATATTTGGCTTTTTTTTTCAATGACAATGGACTGTCAACGCCCCCTTGTGGAATAACGGGGTAATTGGAACGTGCTGGAAAGTACGTTGTGATGAATGCCTAGTGTGTATATATAGGCCTATATATATTTTTTTTTTTTATTACTACCAAAAAAAGCGCATGTTACAAATTGTAGGCTACAGTATTTAAGAAAATACAACAAAAGTAACAGAGCTTCTTTTTGCTTAATAGAAAATTGAATTGATATTCGATAATTCAATATAAGCTCTATTTCTTTCTTAAACTATATACAACATTTTTTTACATGGAAATTTACCTTTGTGAACATGGAATATTGCCATTCAAATAATAAAATGTATTATATATAAACCTGACTGTCTCTATAGTTTTCCAAAAGACCAAATAATAGATGTTTCCAAAACAACACAAATTGGCCATCAATGTTCTTCGTAAAGTCCGAAGAGTGTGCACTGCGCAGCGGACGAGTTTGCCTATTTTTAATAAAGTGGTGTTATTTAATCGTGCATGTAGCCTATCTAAAAGTAGGTTTTAAAATGTAGCCTTATTTATCAACATAATTCTGTTTGTCAGGTTAAGCCTAAATAAAGTTGTCCTACGTCCGATCGACCTGCCTATTATCTTATTGCATGTTCATAGTTGAGCCTACACAGTACTTTGTTGTTTATATCAAGCATTAGCGGAATAGTCTTTATATTAACCCACTGCACAATGTGACGTCGGAGTGACGTCTTTTGTATAGCCGTAACGCCAGGTTTTTTTTTCGATGTCTATTGCACGTCTAATTACGCCTTTTCAATAGGTGCTTTTGCATTTTACGTTGATATTTATTTTTTTGTAAAACATTTTTATTTTAACGTATTTATTTACACATTAAACGATAATTCTACATTTCATTAGGTTTGAATAAATTCTAGGCCATAATATCTTGCTTTTGGGCAACACAGATTGGTCTAATAAGGACCAATATGACCAAAGACCCAAGAGTCAAAGTTGAGTTGAAAAAAAGATATACTTAAAGTGTTCATTCACCACAATTTCAAAGACAATCATCTGTGAGACAAGTTACAACATGGAGCAAACTTATAGCAAGACATAGGCATGCAAAATCAAGACAAAACGTCATGTTTCCATATTTCTGGTATCAAAATAATAAGAACGTAACAAACATATCTCCCTTGTTAAAAATGTGATTTAATAATGGCTGATTTTCTATATCATTATTAAAATTAAGAGGGGGGGGGGGGGTGCATTGATTAGCATTTTCTGTCATTATAATCTATAAACCACGTTCCAGGGGGCGGTGTTAATGCTAATTTTAGGGTAGTCCTACCAGCCATTCGTTGTAAAATAAAATATCTCCCTTTGCTTTGAGTATTGTAACTTTGCAGATGTTGTTTATATATCAGCAACATTACAACACTAACTAATGTTAGAAAAGTGAAATCATAATCAATCATCCCTTTAAATAGAAGCGTAAGATAAGACCCCCACATTGCCACTTTAGTTTTGGGATGTCTGATCATCAGCCTTTTATCATGACATCAGTAATAGTGGCATCTTCCTCCAGGTCCACAGTGATTTTCTTGCCAACCAGTTTGAAGATGTTCTCTGGTCTCATGCCGTGCGGTTCGGCCACTTTTACCGTCAGCATGTCGAGAGTTAATGTCTCGCCCTTCTTCAATGGTTTCCGGGCCACCACTGACTTTCCCAACTGCAAGAAAGAACATTAGCATTGATTGAATGACGTTTCATCGTTTTTTGGTTTTATAATCTATCAGAATGAGCGTTTAATCTGACCTTGCTGTGACAGGACGCCTCACAGGGCAGCATCTGTTTGACCGGAGAACCCATTGCCATCTCAACCGTCCGGATGGCTTTCACCAGCTCCGCAAGCTCCGCCGGCTCCAGTGATGCTGCGTGGTCACTGCCTTTCCAGCTCTTATCCAGGGTCACGTGACGCTCCAGGACCTTCGCCCCGAGTGCCACAGCGGCCACAGACACATGGATGCCCGCCTCATGTCCCGAGTAGCCAATGGGAATGTCCGGAAACTCCTTCTGGAACTCCTGTGTGGGAAAAGGGTAACAGACGGACTTCACACTATCACTAAAAATCTTAATGTAGAACGAGTGTAAACTCCAGAACAGTGTTTTGTTTTTAATATTTTTTTCATGTAATGAAAATATACTCTAAATTTATAAGTCATAATAATTCATATCAGTCACTAATTCTCTGACTGAAATGGCCTCTAACTTTATTACATCACAATAACAATTTAGATGACAAACTGCAAAATTAACCAAATTTTCGAAAACTTTACATCTATCATATAGAAAATTATCAAAAATATCTTGGCATAATATTACAATAATTATTCTACTTTTATTTTTTTAAGATTGAATTAGTCTAGTTAGTTTAGTTTCTTCAGTAATTTATGAAGATGAGAATAGAGTGATTTGTGTCTTACAGGGATCAGGCTGAGGTTGACGTGCTCTAATGGCAGCGGGTAAGCGCTGGTACACTGCAGGAATGTGAAATTGGGATTGTGCTGCTTGACGGTTTGGTAAACACAGCGCATGGTCTCCATAGACTGCATTCCACTAGAAATCACCATGGGACGACCTACACAAATACACCAAAACATCAGCTTCAACACACGGCTGCTTCAGGGAGAAAATCAGGTCAAAGTTTTAGTCATTAATTCTCTGTAGACTCAAAGCCAGCAACATGAAACTCCAGAAAATCCACACCAGGATTTCTAGGTTTCATTGGCTCTGCTGTCTGGCCAATCAGCACTGTCGATACATAATTTCACAGGCGCTCCAGAATAACTGACTTCAAGCGCTCAAAAGAAGCATCTCAGATTCAGTTATGGGTTGGGCTTGACAACTTTTCTCATGTGAGTCACTGTCAAATTAAAGGGTAACTAAACACCAAAACAACTTTTTTTAGTTAATGATCTGTAAGAATGGAGCTTCATAAATAAAGTGTTTTGATTTTCAAATATATGGTGTAAAAACGTCTGAGTGCTGCCCTCTTCAGGTTAAACGGAAAGCTCCTGCAGTAGGGGTACTTGCTGACGTAGCGAACTCTCAGACGCCACTCTGTCACACCCTTGGTGCGAGCTCACCACGCCCTTGGCAGCCCCTGGTATAAAAGCATCTGGTTCCGTCAAAACTACTGTAGCGAGTCAGGAGTTGGATTTATGAGTATTGAAAACGATCAGGATAGCATATATTAGCATCTAGTTAGCATAGCATTTATATAGTTATTTAGATTATTTTTGAAAACAATCAGGATAGAGTATTGTTGCATCTATTTAGCATAGCATTATATAGATAATTTAGATTATTTTGTGTAGCTAGTAGCATAGTACAGTTAGGATAGCTTCAAGTTAGCATAGATTTATCAGTGTTTAGTACAGTGATCAGGATAGTAACGGAATAGAGGTGGACATGGGCTTCTCCACACGCAGTGCCAAACACTGCTCGTCCTGCATGGACTCTTCCACCGCAGCGGCGTCTTGATGTGAGTGATCATGGATATTTTAATCACAATTTTTGGTTAGGATAAAGTTAATCCTCTGGGGTCGACAAACGAGCCGGTGCATTTTGCTGGATTTTTTCACATAGCGGCAGAATATCAATATGAATACATGCCCACAGAGTTATTGAGATCAACTCGACGACAAAACTCATCAGATGCCGGTCGCGATGCGGGAGTTAAGACCGCAGTTTGAGCCAGTGGCTCGAATGGATTTGGCCCTGTGTCTACATACAATTCACCCTCATCCACTTCAGGTGAAGGTGAGGGAGAAAAGTCCTCGACTTCAAATGGCCGCTCTGTTGCAAAGGCAGCTACTTGCGTCACTCCAGTCTCGCTCTATTTTAGAGTCTGACAGCAGCTGTCACTCACGGCGGGTCTCAGGTGCACGCCCCCTGGCCCCGCTGGGGTCTGCCCATTTTTTCAGCATTTTTCAAATATTGCTAGTGGGTGGAGTCAGGCTCTGACCAGGGGTTTAGTTACTCTTTAAATAGAGGAACATGTGACCTTGGCAGTAAATCTGACAAACCTCCGTCAAAGGAGAACGAGTCTTCAGTCAGTGAGTTTTACCTTTTTTGGCGGTTTTCTCCAGGTAAGGGATATTGTTGGTGTCAGCTGAGGCAACTTTAAAAAACGGCACATTGATTTCATGAAGAAATTCTACAGCCATCTGATTGAGGTAGGGAGAGGAAAAGTTACGAAATGTATTTCAATCTACTGGGTTTAATATGCTTAAATTGTCTTGATGTTTAATAAACACTGAGACCCTCTTTCATGTGTTCACCTCATCCATTCCTGATGCAGTAAAGAAGATGCCAACTTCATTGGCGAACTGTTGCAGCTCTTTGTACTGCTGGTGACTGAACTCCAGATGGTGTTTATGGGCCCCGTAGGTCGGACCCCAGGCGTGAGGGGACGTATAGGCACGCTCCAGAGCGGGCTTGGTGAATCTGTGTTCGATCTCGCTCTTTTGAAACTTGGCACAATCAGCTCCACAGTCCTGTGTGGAGATATATAGGAAGAAGTGGATTTGTTGACAAACAAAATTATTTTTACTATATGAACTATGAACTTTAAAAGTTAATTTACTGTGGTACAAAGCGAGTCATAGCTCTCTTACAGAAACGTCCCCTCTTAATTATTGAAAATATTTTAATTATTAAAAAAATCTTCTGTTTAGAAAAAAGTCTGGTAACAAAATACAGGAGAATCATTAATACAATTTTCAAAATTTTCCCCTCTATTTTCTCAAATTATTTTCTGCAAACTGTGGTTTTGGGGGTTGATATCTATATACTGTTTTTCCCCCCCATGAAAAGAACTGACGGTATCAGACTTCCCATCTGATAAAGCAGTACTTTATACTTTACCTTGGCCATTCGGATCATTCGTTTGGCGATTTCTAAGTCTCCCTGATGGTTCTGTCCAATCTCAGCGATGATAAAACAGGGGTTGGAGTCCCCGATTTTTCTTCCAGGACAAAGTTCAAACTCCGCAGACATTTTATAAACGAATTGTTTAACAGATTTATGATTAAGAGGCTGGAAATGTGATCGCTGGCGTTCTGGCATCAAGCAAAGGGGCCGGAAAGAAGGTCACGCTGCCTTTTAAAGACGTTCAAGTGCCCCACCCTAACCATTGCCAACCCCCAACCACAAACACATGACCTACGTTTGCAGGTTTCCAGGACATGCTCCTTCATTATTTATTTGTGTGTTTTTTTTAATTTTTACAAAATGGTCTGTTGAGGACGGTGCCATTCACACGTTAGCATGAGCGTAATTTCCTATGGGCCTGTTAAAACCACGGATGTGCCCCGAAGTCAAGCACAGATAATGTATTCAAAACGAATGTAAAATTCTAACAAATAATAGAGTAACTAATCAGCAGAAACACTCTGAAAAAAAATTTAGTCAATTCAATATAGAAAATTAAGTAGCATCTACAATAACTGGTTTTTCCTGCTGTTACTTTGGTCTCAGTCTTGACGCAGCCCTTGCGACGGCTCTGTGTGTGAATAGTAGTCTTTTCCGAAGGCATTATGTTATTGCTTTTGGCATATATTAAGATATAATGTGTAATGTGTCAATATATAGGCTCATAAAAATACTAAATATTTGACTGGAACTAACATTTGCAATCGGTTCCCCCACCCTCACCCTCAGGCTAAAGTCGACACATCTGTGAAATTTCTCAGAAAAAATATACGATATTCAGTCCATGCATCCGGGTTTGCATTGTATGCCTCCACCGCAATGAGTTTATGGTTGTTGTGAATCGCACTTGCTAGCGCTTGCCTTGAAGCATATTTGAGTGTGCTGTACTTTTTATGTAATATGATTTTGTGGTTATATATCCCCTTAACTGTCACCGTCCCGGTACCGGGACGCCTAACTTTACTTCACTGTATTTCTATTAAATCCTAATCTAATTATGACAAATTATATATTTTTGGAAAGGTCTAAGACTTCTAATTAAATATTCGACCCCTGTTTTGTGTTAAAAATTATGTAGGAAGAGTAATTAATGAATTTATGACAAGAGTGCACCTAAAAAAATCTGCATCATAACAGAAGGTCTGACCTTTGTCACAAAAAGTTGATGCACCCACTTTTAATCATTGAAACGTCTGTTTTTATGCTAAAAAAGTTCATAATAAAACATATAATCTAGTATTTTTCAATAAAAAATAAAAAGTATAGTATAAAATTATCCTCTAAAAATGATAATATACATGTATATATTATCCTCTAAAATATAATAATATTTTTTATCGCCTTTTTTTATTATATCACACATTTTAGTAGTTATCATAAATTAGGTATCATTTGAAAGCTTATAAACTCAGAATTCATCCTGTGAAAACCATTTTATAATTGAACGTTGCGTTACCATAGAAACGGTACTTATTTTATGAGGCTCCTCCCCTTTTGGGCATCCTTATTTTTCATAATTTATGATCAAAACCTTTATTAATCTTGACAAAACACATATTGTCAGAAAGGTCTGAGTCTGAAGGTTCCAAATTTTGTGACAAAATTGACAGAAATGCATTAATTTAAACACGCTTACATGACGCGATCCTACGGCGTCATCTAACTGACGCTAAAGGAAAGCGTCAGTTAGAGGACGCGGTTAGGTTTAAGTGTGGGGTGGGGGTAGGGTACACGCGATCCTAGGGCATCATCTAACAATATGGTCAAAAAACAATATGAAATTCTGATCTACTAACAATTACAAAAGGTACTAGTGTCTAATAAATAGCTAGTATCAACTTGTAGCACTTGTCCGGATAATTTAGAAGACTTTTTTATCTTACTTTTTGTCTGTTTTGTTTTATTTTATTAATATTAAAAACCCATCAAATCTCCACTTGAGTCCTCGCTCCTTTCACCACCACCACACCTGACAGGATTGGCAATAACTAAAAGAACATTGCATTTCAACTGAAGGAACAAGTAAATCCACACTCAGGTCAAATTACATCCTGTGTCATGTTATAACAGCAACATAAACTGATTGTTTAAAATCGAAACTGGAATAGGCTTTAAAAATGAGCCCTGTCAATATGATCCTGGTTGACGTGCGACGAGCTCTTTTTCTTCAGCATCAGAATGTACTCTGCAAACTCTCGAACGGCTCCGTGGCCGGCGGGTCTCTGACAGGTATATTTCGCTGCGATGAGATCTGCCACAGGTGCGTCACATGGGACGGCATTCAGCCCCACCTGAGACACAGTGGCGGCTGGTGAAAAATCTTTGAGGGGGGGGGCTGAATAAGAGGGGAAAATTTTGAATTTAGTAGATGTGATTTCCTGCATTCTGGTGCATTTTAGGCCTTAGGCCATGCCCTTACCTATACCAATAAAATAACTTAAACCAGTCAATACCAATGGTCAAATAATACAATAATAATAATAATAACAGTTTGACAGTTAATTATAATGAACAAGTTGCATGTTTATTATGCTCTGTGTGCTGACAGAAAAAGTGCAAACGCATAATATTAATAAATTATAATAAAGGTAATACAAAAAATAATAGGTAATACAACAATCTAGTTTAATCAATCCCCAGCTGTAGACTACATATTTTTGACAAATTGACAATTGGATAATGGATAACAATGACGTGTTGATACTAGAGAAAGAGAGAGAGAAAAGGCTCTGAAAGAGAGGGTGGGACAACATTCTTGAGGGTAACACCCAAGTATGAGAAGAAAGTTGATTTTAACTAGTATGAAACACAGTAATCTAGCTCAGAACTTAAAAACATCTAAAACAAAGCAAACACACAGGTATTAATATTCCTATAACTATTTTAATATCAAACGTGTGTGAAACAGTGTTTATGTGTGTGTGAGTGAGTGAGTGACAGAGAGAGACAGGTCAATTCCCACGACTAACTTTACATTATTTCCACTCGACGTCACTGGCGCTGCCATTCTGCTCTCATCTGAGGTAAAAAAATGTCCCGTGGTGCGCGTGCACGGTGCACTCCCCTAATCTGATACTGTGGGCGATATTTTCAGCGCCCCTAATCCATAAAATTTGACGACGCTGATTGGCGAAATATAAACTTTTTTGCATAGCAACCGGGGAACCATTGGCTTAAATTCCAGCACTGTGGGGCTGAGCGAACTGGCGCCCTGAGAAGACAGCCTATTGGCTATACTACTACACCAACACGATAAAAGTAACGAAAGTGAATGCAAATGTCGAGTTCAAAACACTTTTCAAAGTAAAACCATTATTAGCATATAATTAACACAGATTCTTTTTCAAAATGATAAATTATAATATATATTAAAAAAACAGACAGACAGGTCGGAGGGAGGGCGGCGCCCCAGCGCCCTCTATGGGCGACCCGCTGAGACACTTTCTCCAGGAGAGCCCTGGACAGCAGCTCGTTCACGCTGGATATGAGGATCACCTGATGAAAGTTAGGAAACATCAAATCAAAATGATCCATTTACTTTCTTAATACATGTTCTTCTGCTCTTAATGTTGCATGCTATTGACAATAATAAAGTGGTTTGTGAATGGCCAGAGGTGCAGCTACTCTATAAAAAGGGAAATTAACAGCAGCTGTGGTTCCCAGAATTCTCTTTTCTTTTTACAGTGTATGGTATCCAATTTATGCATATAAAAATCACTAATACAAATAGGTGAATGGAAACATACTACTGTAAATTATAAGATGATTTTGTTATGTTTTTACATCCAAAGTCTGTACATTTGACAATATTTTAATGTAAAATTATACTTAAAATGTCCTGTTATATTTACAGTTTTTTACTATAGTAAGGGAACTTCCCATTAATAAATGAGGTGTTTATTTACCATAGTATTTTTACTATTTTACTGCTAAAATAATTTTATGTCCCATTATCAGCCAACACAACTGTACCTCTATATCTTCTCTCTTTAGCATCTGTACGCCTGCCACGTCTCGAGCATTAATGGCCACAAGATCCTCTCCAGAAACCGACGTGTATATCTGACTGCTGGTCAAACATCCAGACACTTTACACAGAAACAGCCTGACCGCCACTTTCTCCTCTCGGCCGAAGTAGCCAAACCTGCAGAAACGGCCAGCAATTATATATGCATTATTGTGTTTTGCCACAAACAGATTTTGATGAAATAGCCACCTCAGAACTCTCTGCTCAGCGACAGGCCAGTCGATGTCCACGTCGATGTCAACGCTGTGCTCCGGCAGCATTTCATAGTACGCGATCTTGCCCAGCTAAATCACACAGAACAGATCAAAATAACTGATGCCGAGCGTTTGAGGTCATGAGCTCTTATGGAGAGGTTTCACACACACATGGGACATTTTTTTTTTAAATGTTGACTTTTTCTCCCATTAAAGCTGATGACAAGTCTTTAAATTTGACTTTTTTTCTACAAATGAAGAACTGGTTGTGATATCAGTGATTAATAAATATTTTAAAGATAATTTACTTTGTTTTTATATTTACCTTCATAACAATGTATAATCATTAGTCATTTATATAGTTGTAGTTGTCATTCGATTTATCATTTATTCATTTTATTATTATTTGATATACATTATTTATTTAGTTGATACACACACACCAGCACCGAGTCTTGAGTCTTGGACGCCTCAGATGTAAAGTTATTCGCTGTCAATGTGACCCCAAAATGAATGGGAGTCAATGCTAAAACAGCAGGGCCCGGTTTTTCAAAAGGTAAATAAAATAAAATTGATCCGGATTTAGTAATCCATTTTTTGCGATCCATGATCACGTAATCCAGTTTACTTTTGAGCCGGTTTTTCAAAGCAACATCGGATTGGATCAATCTGATTTGGATAGGAACTTTTCAGGATCACCAAATCTGAATAACCAGTGTTCAAACAGGATAGGAAATCATAATGTAGAACTATGTAAAGAGCAACAGGTAGACAAAACAAGTAACAAACACTGTACACTGAAGACATTTATAACAAATTTCAAATATAGATGTATTGAATTAAAAGAAAGACTTCATGTCAAATACTCCACAATAATTTCAGACTTCCTCATCTGATGTGGAGAGATCAGCTTGTCTGAGCGTAGCCTTT